GAGAAGATGGTGGCGGGCAATTGGAGAAGATGGTGGCGGCCCAGTCGGAGAGGAGCAACGGTGGGCTTTCGCCGGATGTCCCGCGTCTTCTTCGGCTGGAGAAGAGAGAGAAGAAAAAAAAAACTGAAATCCGTTTTCAGAAAACGAAAACGTGAAAATGAAAACGTCTTTTTTTCGTTTTTAGTTTTCACAAAAAGATAAAAACGTTTTTGTTTTTGTTTTTTGAAAAGTTTTGCGCCAAACGCGTTTTTAAATTGTGTTTTCATTTTTTAGCTTCGAAAAGCGTGAAAAATGGAAACGAAAACAAAAACAAACAGGGCCTTAGATTCTCATGCTTTCTTTCTTATAATCATTTTTCTACTTAATGTCGAAGCTTAAAAAATTATAAACTCTGGACTTATATTTTTTTTCTAGATTTGAGGACGCAGTGGATTTTCCCCCAACATCACATAGAAATCGATTTGTCTCAACATGTCATATGTGTATGCTTTCTGAGCAAAGTGAAAAAAACACATTGTATACACATAATTTTACTAATTAAAGAAAAAAGTTGCTAACTTGAGCACGAAAATGAAAAAAAAAAAGTCCCACGGTTTGGTCCCAATTGTGTGTGGAAGTTGTATTTGTGTGATTCTTGGGCTCCGACTATTAGATTTATTGGTAAATTTGAGATATACCTATTGCTGTTGCTGGCGCTGGCACCAAAAGTGGTGGATCTGAGCGGAGAGAGGAGAGAGAAAGAGTGGTGGGGGAGAAAGAGTTGAGCATATTTCTAAATTTTTAGTGACATTGTAAATCTAATTTATTATATTATGCTATTTACTATTTTTTAAAGTTATTAATCACAATTTTAAATATGCTATGCTATTTACCCATTCACAATTATAAGACTTTTTAGATAAATAGCAAAATCTCAGTATGGTGAAGTTGAAATATAACAAAATTTTCCTAATATTTGAAGAATAATAAGAATTAATTTCATTAAAATATACACTATAAAATGTGACATTTTTGCTATTTTTAAAATGTTCTCGAAATTTTGTTAAATTTTTAATTCCACTACAGTAATTCTACCACTACTCACAATGAGTTTCAAGTAAATATGCTTTGGGCCCGCTATATGTGAATTGACACCACTAACACCCAATGGCAATGCTCCATCTAATTTTGACACATCTAAATACTACTAAATACTACTTTGATCATCCAGAATCAAAATATCCGAGTTTGGTCAGCTGGGAAAACGCATCTCTTCAAACGTTATATGAAAGTTTGACTATAAAGTGTCAGCTGGTGAAGAATGCTGGATTACGCATCTCTTCTGACGAGTTTTTCTCCATGAAATTGACACTTTCCCAAAGACGTGGATAGTAAGTCAATATCTATATCTGCCGTATCCTCCAAGGTACGTTCTCTCTCAAAGAGCCCAATCACAAGGAATTTCACATTATCAGTTTGTAGTCTCTAAGCCCAGAAAGAAAACAAATGGCGGTTTGTACTTCAATATTGCTAATTTCTCTTCTTTTCTTTTTTCTATCCCAGTCAGTTCTCTCTGTAGTTGATAGCATCACTCAATTCCGATCCCTTAGTGATGGCGGAACTTTGGTTTCTAAAGAAGGAAGCTTTGAGCTTGGTTTCTTCACTCCAGACAATTCAGAGAATCGTTACGTTGGAATTTGGTACAAGAACATCCCAGTTCAAACTGTCGTTTGGGTTGCAAACCGCTGCAACTCGATTAATGATTCCTCTGGCTTGCTCACCATAAACGGCACAGGTAATCTTGTGCTTTTGTATCAGAATAAGAGTGTTGTGTGGTCGACGAGCTCATCGATACAAGCCCGGAAACCAATAGTGGAGCTTCTAGATTCCGGAAATCTTGTACTTAGAGATGAGGAAGATGGAAACTCAGAGAACTATTTATGGCAAAGCTTTGACTATCCTTCGGATACATTGCTGCCAGACATGAAAATGGGGTGGGATTTGAGGATAGGCCTTAAGCGGCGTCTCTCAGCGTGGAAGAGTTGGGATGACCCTTGTCCTGGAGATTTCACTTATGGGTTTGAGTTTGATCCACAACTTCATACATTCCCCGAAGCTTATATACGAAAGGGCACCGCAAAGTTCTACCGCACCGGACCTTGGAATGGCCTTCGTCTTAGTGGCTCACCGGAACTAAGGTCAAACCCGCTCTATGGTTTCGACTTTGTTTATAATAACGATGAGATGTATTACATATACAACCTCATGAGTAAGTCTGTGATCTCAAGAATAGTCCTGAATCAAACCACCAGTTTTCGTCAGCGCCTTACATGGATAGAGGCAGATCAAACTTGGAGGATTTACGCATCAGTGCCTAGAGACGACTGTGACAAGTACGGTGTCTGCGGAGCGAATGCGAATTGTATGGTAAACGAAAATCCTATCTGTCAATGCCTAGGAGGATTCAAGCCCAAGTCTCAAGAGAAATGGAATCTAATGGACTGGTCTGAAGGATGTGCAAGGAACATTCCACTGAACTGCCTGGAGAAAGATAAAGATGGCTTTATCAAATTTTCGGGGTTGAAAGTGCCCGATACAACACATTCTTGGGTGAATAAGAGTATGAATCTAAAGGAATGCAGGGCCAAATGTTTAAGCAACTGTTCTTGTATGGCTTATACAAATTCTGATATCAGAGGAAAAGGAAGTGGTTGTGTCATCTGGTTTGGGGATATGAAAGATATTAGGCAATTTCCCATTGGTGGACAATATCTATTTATTCGCATGCCACATTCAGAGCTAAGTATGTTCCTAATTATTTCATAAAAATATCATCAATTTCTTTTTTTTTTTTTTTTTTTTTTTGGTAATCTTCTAGCTACAATTTGATTTGATTTTCTTTTGGGTTTTAAAATAACTTAGAAAAACGAAAAGCTGATAGTAAGATGAGAGCAGTGCTGATAGTGGCTGCTGCCATTGGTGGTTTTTCTGGGTTGCTCCTACTTGGCTATTTCATTTGGAGGAGAGCCTCAAAAGGTAATAACCTTTGTTCTTACTCTGTTTTCGTTTTCCTTCAAAAAAACAAAAAAAAAAAAACAAAAACAACAACAAAAGAGATTTTTGTCGTCTCCTGAGAGATATATTGCCACATTTGTTGACTTTGGACCACATGTGAACAACCCAAATGAAAGTGACACTTTATTTTGGCAACATGTAAAGAGTCTATATAAAAGAGCAACAATCACTCCAGAAACAATTATATGAAGGCAATCCTAACACGTATTCCTCATCTAATTATTGTTTAAACGTTGTTCAAGTTTACGGATACACCTTTGCTTGGACAATTTTGTTTTTTGTGGTTTGCTATTTATTTTTTTTTTTTTTTTTTGGAACAAACGTAGGAATATTGGGCATTACCGAAGTTTTAACCACATCCCAATCACCTAAGACTTGCTCAAACAAAATTAATAAAGAAAATAGAATACAAGATGAACCCGGAAAAAATCAGTTTAATTAGCCGGAAACTACTTTTTGTTTTTTTTTTTTTAAGAAAATAAAATTCTGCTTGGTGTACAATTATGCCTTAATTCTTTGTCTTCAAGGTATAAATATTGCTGTATTGGCTGTGCATATTTCGTCATCATTTCTTAGGACAATGTTCTTGCGCAACAGTGGGCACCCCACACCACCCAATAATACATGGTGGGTCCCTTAACAGGGGATCCATAGGAAACGTCACTTTTTATTAGTGGTGATATTAACATTGTTGGTGCCCTCAAGAACTTTTTCATTTGTTATATCTAACATGAAGATCATATTAGACAAAACAGATGGAAATGAAACAGTAAGTCGTAATGGAGACCAAGACGAAGACCTGGAACTACCATTGTTTGATCAGTCTTCTATAACTGCTGCAACTGAAAATTTTTCAGCAGACAATAAGCTTGGGGAAGGTGGCTTCGGACCAGTATACAGAGTAAGCTTCTGATGTGGAAATTTGAGAAATACATTTAGTCCATGTTTAAGTGTTTGCTTTTATCGTCTTTCATTTGAAATATTCAAGGTAAATAAAAAATGCAGGGTAAGCTAGAAGATGGCCAAGAAATTGCAGTAAAGAGGCTATCAATAAGTTCTGGGCAAGGAGTGAGAGAGCTAAAAAATGAAGTAAAACTAATTGCCAAGCTTCAACATCGAAATCTTGTGAAGCTTCTTGGTTGTTGTATTCAGGGAGAAGAGAAATTGCTGATATATGAATATATGCCGAACAGAAGCCTTGACTTTTTCATTTTTGGTTAGAATCCCAACCCACATAGGTTACATAACTAATTCATTTCTAATTTGGTGTAGCTTTATTAACTTGGAAGAAATATTGGCAGATCAGACCCAAGGAAAACTACTAGAATGGTCAAAGCGCTTCCAAATCATATGCGGAATTGCTCGAGGACTTCAATATCTTCACCAGGATTCTAGATTGAGAGTAATACATAGAGATCTCAAAGCTAGTAATATTTTACTTGACAATGAGATGAATCCTAAAATTTCAGACTTTGGCTTGGCAAGAACTTTTGGAGGAGATCAGACAGAAGGACAGACAAGCAAAGTAATTGGAACCTAGTGAGTATTATTCTTTCACTTTTTTTTTTTTTTTTTGAATTACATATACATAACATTCCGAATAAATATTTTTCTTATTTGACTGTTTTTAATGATGCTGTGTAGTGGCTATATGGCACCGGAATACGCATTCGATGGCTTATTCTCAATAAAGTCGGATGTCTTTAGTTTTGGTATATTGGTGTTGGAGATTGTAAGTGGAAATAAAAGCAGAGGCTTTCACCAAGAAAATCAAGGTTTCACCCTCATTGGACATGTAAGTTGACAAAAACCTTAATTAATTTTCATTACTTCCAAGTATAAATCTAAATTATCTCAGTACTGACACTTTTGGATTTTGACATTAATAGGCATGGATATTGCATAAAGAGGGCAGTTCATTTGGATTGCTTGATAAGCACTTAAGGGAATCGGACCACAATCTAAAACAAGTGTTGCGTTGCATTCATGTCGGTCTCTTATGCGTGCAACAAAGTCCGGTGGATAGACCAAATATGTCATCTGTGGCTGTGATGTTGGGAAGTGACAGTGAGCTGCCTCAACCCAAACCACCCGGCTATTTCACAGAGACGGGTGCAGTGAAAAGAGACAGTTCCTCCACAAAGCCCGACTCATCTTCAACGAATGATATGAGCATTTCACTTCTCGAGGCTCGATGAGACTTAAGTATAGTTACAGCAAATTTATACCTACTCCAACAACAACTAACGAGCCTCAGGAGTTTCAAGTACTTTTTTGGAGAGTCAAGAGTATGTAGTATAGCTTAAACAAGTTGTGTGAAATAGTTTTATTGGATGGCATATACGAGAGTGGTGAAAACTTCTTTGTCAATTACCAAACCACCATTATACCCTTAGCCAATTGAACAGAAAGAGAATTGGTTGATGCATTATTATACAAAAGTACGAAAAATATTTTATGCATCGCTCGCTGCTTTCTTTTACGGATATTTAAGAAGACTTAACGATTGAACATGACATTTATTTATTTCATATGATTTATGTTAAGTAAACCAATGTTAGTGTATGTCACAGGTGACGGCAATGAGAGATCGAGGTGCTCGAGAGGTTGATATCAAATTTTTATGTTATGTATGAGCATTGTTTGCGGTAAAAAAAAAAATATACATTGGATAATGAATCATAAATGAGCCTTGAAAAAGACAGGAGAAAATAAAAGGGAGAAATAGGGAAATAGGCCAAGACTTGAGATGAATTAAAATTAATAGGCCAATAGTTTACATAAGTTAATAAATAGGTCAAATTACTGTTTTCGTTCATAACTTGTCTGGTTATGAACCATAACTTGACAAGTTTGTCCATAACTTATCTGGTTATGTGGGACGCCCCTCCTATGAGCCCGCCACTGTAACTTAAACTTTAACTTGTACTTACTGGGGTTTCTTAAAATTTGCGAAACATTTTTTTTTTTAACCATAAGAAGGAATACTTTCATAATTCGTAACAATAATTTCAAAAGAATAAATCACTGAATTTCTTAAAGCTTTTCTTAATTTCAATTAAGATAAAACCTTCTAGAAATATTTTTCAAATGGAGCTGTGTTTGAACTCTTGTTTCAAATACTCTTTAAAAGCCTTTCTAAAACTAGCCAATTCAAATGGGCCATTTAATTTGACTTTAAAACGGATTTCGTGAGAAATCTTAAATTCAAGTACATCTTAAAGTTCTTTTAAAATCAATCATTTAAATCGTCATGTTTAAAATTCGTTTATTTCTTGCATGCACTGTTGCAACGTTCTAAAACTTAAATACTCAAAACTAGGGTTGTTAACTATAACCTCAATTTTCTTAACATACATATGTACATATACTTTTTAAACATACATGCTTGAAACCTTTGAATCATATAGACATATACATGATTTTTCTTAAACTTACTGCGGAAGATAACTGCGCCCTTCAAGAATTGCTGATAGGTTTCTTACCTACAACATGAACATATCAGATTGAGCTTTCACTCAGCAAGTAGGAACTATATCTCA